GCACCCATGAGGTTCCGTCAGCCGGCGATGCTCTGTTGCAGCAACCATGAGGTTCTGGCGTTAGGCGATGCCCCGCTACAGCATCCGTGAGGTTCCGTCGGGCGATGATGCTCCATCACAGCACCCGTGAGGTTCCGGCGTCCAGCGATGCTCGGTTGCAGCACCCGTGAGGTTTCGTCGGCCGGCGATGCTCCATTGCAGCACCCGTGAGGTTCCGTCGGCCGATGATGCTACGTTGCAGCACCCGTGAGGTTTCGATGGCCCGGCGATGCTTCATAGTTCCCTTTACGCGCCAGGCTTGAAGAAGCCCGAATACCTAGACTACAAGCCCGGGCCTGATTCGAAGTCTAGTAATGACCCTTTTCTCAAGCCATAGCCCAGCCTGAAAACAAGCCCAAAAGCCCGGCTGAAACAATGTTTTTTGACTGCCCCAAAGCCCAACGATCCGGCGCAAAATATTGAGAAAGTGAAGCCCAGACTGAATGCACTTTTGGACCTGCAAAACAGCGCCTTAACCCAGCCCAAACGGCAAGCCTGACCCAGCCTTGCCTGATATTATTGGGCCAGGCTCGGGCCGGGTCGTCTGGCCGGGCGGCCCGGCCCATGATTAGTTTAGTTGTACGTGCCGTTTACCGGAGTTGATCTTTTTTTTTTCTGTACGAACACTCAGTCGTCGTCTCCCCCGGGACAGAGGAGCACGGGCAGCTCGGGAAGCAGCGGCGACACCGTTGCGCCCCGCCTCCCCCACTCATTAATGGCGGCCACTGCATGGTTGGCTGCGGCACCCATCTCCCCCATCAATGCCGCCACCCACCTCCCCCGTCTACTAAAACGCCAGCCAACCCAAGCTTCCCTCCATCCACCCCACCCCACCTCCACTTCATCACTTATCCATCCGTCCGTCCCGCCACCTCACCGCGGCGCCGGCTGCCTCCCGCCCGGCCAGCTCCGCCCCGGGGTTCCTCGAGCTGGAGGTGGGTGCAGCCATAAACGCCTCCCGTCCGGCCTGCTCTGCTCGCCTCGATCCGCATCCGCTTACTTATTCTTGCGCCGGGGTGCAGTGTCCCGCTTCTGTTTGATTACCGTTGCACTTTCTATGAGTGTAGGTGGCGGTGGATGACCAGCTCCTGTACCTTTTTCGGGGGATTGCAGTGTTAGGTTCGAGGTTGGTGAGCGATCTCGCGACCTCGGGCCTGCGCTTAAGGTGTTCGATCCATTGCCGACCAGAGCACACACCTTTCAGGCCTTTTTGGTTCTCTGGATCGGGTTGCAAGGCAGAGATCAGAGATGGTTGGGAGCGTGCACGTCAATGGATCGGCGAACGGCGCGAACGGCACCGAGGATCGGCTGGACGAGCTGCGCCGGCTGCTCGGCAAGTCCGACGGCGACCTGCTCAAGATCGTCAGCATCGGCGCCGGCGCCTGGGGAAGCGTCTTTGCAGCCCTCCTGCAGGACGCCTACGGCCACTTCAGGGAGAAGGTGCAGATACGGGTGTGGCGTCGGCCGGGGCGGGCGGTGGACCGGTCCACCGCCGAGCATCTGTTCGACGTGATCAACTCACGGGAGGACGTGCTGAGGCGCCTCATCCGCCGCTGCGCCTACCTCAAGTACGTCGAGGCGCGGCTGGGTGACCGGACCCTGTACGCCGACGAGATTCTAAGGGATGGGTTCTGCTTGAACATGGTCGACACGCCCCTCTGCCCGTTGAAGGTGGTCACCAACCTGCAGGAAGCTGTCTGGGATGCTGACATTGTGGTGAATGGCCTGCCATCCACTGAGACGAGGGAGGTGTTTGAGGAGCTCAGCAAGTATTGGAAGGAGCGGATCAGCGTTCCGGTCATCATTTCCCTTGCAAAGGGGATAGAAGCCTCCTTGGACCCAATTCCGCGTATCATCACGCCTACACAAATGATCAGCTCCGCAGGTAAGCATTTATCTTGCTCTGTCTTTGTCGTCACATATATTCTCATCTATATCGAAGCGTGCAATCATTTGGTATCCATGAGGGAGAGAAATTGATTTGGTTAGAGAGTAATGTGTTTGCATTAGTTATTTTCTTCTGCGGTGATTGCAACTCACTGTTTGATGAGAGGGAAAAATAGAGAACTTTCTGGAGAACAACTTTTGAGTGAAAGCTTTATGAAGGAATACTTCTGATCAAAGGAAAATCAAGCTTACGGCTTGATAATGTATTGTGCAATGTTTGACATTTTTGTCTGCAGTTCATGGCAATAATTTCCGCACATGAGATTCTGCTGTAGTCTTTTGGTCTGATTATTTGTCAATTTACAGTTGGAAAAAACAAATACACATTTAGTACTTTTCTGTTGCCATGACCTGCATAATTATTGCACTTAGCATAGTGACTTTGACACTTTGTAGATATGCACCAACCTTCAGTTTACTCAATCAAATCAACCTATTGCATTTGAAGTTTGCTTGCATGAAAACAGATGTTGACTTTTCCTGTTGCATTTTTCTGCTGATTTATTATGTCAGATCTTATCTTTTTGTTACTCACCTGAGATGGATTTGATGTCCAACTTGATTTTATACAAAAGTAGCGTAAACTGTACATCTAGGATTTGGAGTGAGTTTTCATGTTAAGCATGAGTATGCTACAAAGAGTGATTTCATAGCGTATGCTATATGTTCTGATTTCGTCGAAAGACGTTTTGATCTTGACATGCACTGTTGGACTCATATACTTAATTATGGCAGTTAGTATAGTGACCTCTTGGGTATACATCACCTACCATTTCTTATACTCGATCACATCATGTACCCTGTTCGATTTGAAGAGCTAACGCCAAAGCACTATACGCCATGATAATGACGTGATCCACATCTTGTGACCTGGCCGACAGATGTTTTAATGTTGACAAGTACCCATCTGTCTCACATAATTAAATTTTATTGCCTGAGTTCATTACTTGCCTTATATATCTAAATTACTCGAAATCTGATATTTTAAAATGAATTGCAGCTGGCGTTCCAACTGAGAATATACTCTATCTTGGAGGCCCAAACATCGCCTCAGAAATTTATAACAAAGAATATGCAAATGCTCGAATCTGCGGATCCACCAAGTGGAGGAAACCTCTCGCTAAGTTTTTGAGGCAACCACATTTCATTGTTTGGGATAACAGTGACATTGTCACTCATGAGGTTATGGGCGGACTGAAGAACGTATATGCTATTGGTGCTGGTAAGCGTCTTTTTTTCTTCTTCAAATATTAAAATTTTGCTCACCCAAATAAGGAAATTAATATATTGTCATTATACTCCCTCCGTTCCAAAATAAGTGTCTTGAACTTAGTACAAATTTATACTAGAGCTAGTACAAAGTTGAGACACTTATTTTAGGACGGAGGGAGTATTTGTTAATTTTGGCTTTTACGGTTCCTACCTTATATGTTACTCAATTATTAAAGAAGGCATAGATATGTGTGAGTTTGCTTGGTCTGTTTAATGATCAACGTGATCTGTTGTGTCAGTAGTGTCTGAATCTGAACAGGCTAGCTTTTGAAATCACAGGAAGCAACCTCGTTTCATTATTGTCAAAAAGTATATGTCCTGATATTGTACAGAAAGAACATCTAAGCTGAGAAGCTCCATGGCAATTTAAACACTTGTCTCACTATTATTCTAGGATACCCACTGATGTTTAGTTATTTGCCTTTTCTTGCCTTAAAGGAAGTTTTTGCTTTCTTTCATGGCAAGGTATTTGCTACCATGTGCTATGTTTCCAGTTCAAGCAGAACCTTCTGTTCTCTGTTTCAGGAATGGTGGCAGCTTTAACAAACGAGAGTGCAACAAGCAAATCAGTTTATTTTGCTCACTGCACGTCGGAGATGATATTCATTACCCATCTACTGACAGAACAGCCAGAGAAACTTGCTGGCCCTCTGTTGGCTGATACTTACGTCACTCTCCTGAAAGGTCGCAATGCATGGTACGGGCAAATGCTAGCGAAGGGAGAACTCAGGCTCGATATGGGTGACAGTATCAAGGGAAAGGGGATGATTCAGGTTATGTCATAGCAGTGTTCTTTTCTTTTCTTCCAGAAGTTTCTCTGATTGCTGAGCTTGTCTGAATAATAATATCGAAAAGTAAAACCTAGAAAAGATATTAAACCCTCTGGATATTCTTGCTATGTAGTTATTTTGATAATCCCTGTCATCTATAATGGTTCCCATTTTGCTTGGGAGTTGTTGGTTCGCTTTAGGTTTTGCATGGCATGCACTAACTGAGTATAAGCTCTGTGTATTTCATTGGACAGGGTATTTCTGCTGTTGGTGCATTTTATGAGCTGCTCAGTCAACCCAGCTTAAGTGTGCTACACCCAGAGGAAAACAAGCAAGTTGCTCCTGCTGAACTGTGCCCAATTCTGAAGAGGCTTTATAGAATTCTGATAAAAAGGTCTGTGATATCTCTATTACCATTCTCCATATGGCTTGCTCTGCTTACTTTGACTATGTACAGAGTGCTTTGACAGCTTGAAACATAGTTCAACTGCAAATTATGCCCCTTCTTGCTTGTCCAATCCATTGCCGCTTCTAGTTGTCACTTGCCAGCATAACTAGAAATACCGTTAACTGCTAACAAGACAATAACACATTGATACATGAACTCAGTGTAGGTCCAGCAGTTTATCAAGATAGAGTCAACGATGCATACTTGCAGGAAGTACACTGTAAATCAAATCAAAAGTTGTTTGCCCATTCGAGGCCATGCTTTTTCCCTTTGCTTACAGCTAAATATACTCTGTTTTGCTACTCCCTCCGATCCAAATTAATTGATGCTGACTTAGTACAACTTTGTACTACAGTTGTACTCCCTCCGTAAAGAAATATAAGAGCGTTTAGATCACTAAAGTAGTGATCTAAACGCTCTTATATTTGTTTATAGAGGGAGTATTAAGTTAGCGTCAATTAATATGGATCGGAGGGAGTATTACATTTTACTCTGATTTTCCATGAGCAAATTTGTGAAACCATCACAATGAACAGTATCAATACATGATCAACCATCAGCTTTTGCCAAGGAGCCTTTCTGCCAACTGATCGGAATCAGGATTCTGTCTTACGCTACTCTTCTGTTTGGAATCTGCAGGGAGCTCCCAGTGGGAGACATCCTCCAAGCCCTGAGGGACGAAACCATGAACGACCCCCGTGAGAGGATCGAGATGGCGCAGAGCCACACATTCTACCGCCCGTCTCTCCTTGGGAAGCCGTGACCTCGGTAGCCCCGTGTACATGATTAGAATGTAAACAAAAGGCTTGGATTAGCTCCAACCCTGTCATGCTTCACATCATTATCGATTGAGCAAAGGCGTCTCCGGGTTTCTGCTGGCTTGTGTGTTTGGATCCCAGGCCCCAGCGGCCATAGTTTGTGGGGTCGTTGGACTGTCAGGTTGTACAAGAGAGTAATGATCGAGTCAATAATATGTTGCTACTTGGGCAATAAACATGTGGCGTGAACGAGACACAGGTTATTTGTGTGTTTTTAACCCTTGCTGCTAAATTATTTGTTTTCGACGAAATGAGATGCAAATAGTTGTGAGATTCGGCGACCCGTGTTCCTCTAAGTATTGGTTTTTTTTCCTGGACCGTCGTCTGGGTCTGAACTTCTGTAGTGAGAAAAGATGCAAAATATTTGAGCATTCATTCACTCCAAGCAGGAATTCTAACAAGAGATGTTGCACAAGTGGTATGGTTGACTCCAAGCAGGAATTCTAACAAGACTGATTTACTGCCTCCAATATGAAGTTATACTAAAGCTGCGACCATTAGTTTGGATCGGGGAGAGTAGCTAAAACTTCTGTTGCAGTAACATGCATGCTGCTGCACGTGTCAAGGGGCGCACGCGGCACGCATGCTCCTCACTCTGTTTGTGGGGTACAATTGTGTGTGTGTTTGTACATCACATGAGTGCATATTTGTCTAACAGTTTATTTATAGCTGCTCAGACGACTGGACATTTTCGACATATAACTTATCAACAGATTAATTAATCCAATATAGAGTGAAGTTTATTTTTTTCTTGAATAAAAAAATTGTACCTTTGTGCATGCATGCACTTCCACTTTCTGCGTGAGCTTTTGTTAGGATCTTTTCCGAATTAAATTTTCTGCAACCGCACTTTGCCCCTTTTTCGTTCAAAAAAAAACTGATCGATCAAGATGAGCGTGGGTGTATGTGGTGTGCGGTGTGGCGCCCTAAAACGTTTAGGCTTGCTTTCTTAAGAGCATCTCCAACGGCCGCGCCAAACGACGCGCGCGCGGTAAACCCAGCTTTTAGCGCGCGCGGGGTGTTTTGCCGCACTCCGGCGGCGGTGGGAAACTCGCGCGCGTGCGCGAAAAGGCGCCAGCTCGCGCGCCATTTTTTGCGCACCGCTTCCGGCGCGCCTATAAAGTGCGGCGCGCGCCACGCGCCTTCTCCACACCTCCTCTTCTCCTCTTCCTCTTCCTCTCTGCCACCGACGCGCCTCCACAGCTCCAGCGCCCCGCCACCGCCACGCCGCCATGCCGCCGCGCCGCCGAGGAGCGTCCGGCTACCGCGGCGTCCGCCTGCGCCCCAACGGCGGCTACTACTCGGAGATATGCTCTGGCGATCTCCGGCTCGGCCTCGGCACCTACGGGACGGCGCGCGAGGCCGCCCGATCTCGTTGCAGCAGGTGGGCAGTCGTTCTTCACGCCGGACGATGATCGGTGGCTGGACATCTGGCTAGATACCTCGAACGACACCGCCGAGGATGATAATGGTGATGATGATAGCGATTTAGAGTAGTTTTTTTATGCAATCTATCTCGTTTTTTATCGTTTGTCGTTTTTATTATCATGCAATCTATGTTTCCGATGTAAAATACCTTTGTATCGTTTAAAATCTATGCAATCTATTAGTTTTTTTATGCTTCCAATGCCTACATTTCTAGTTTATAGAATGAGCGCGCGCTGCATTTTTTGCGCGCTGCTGGAGCGGCGCGCGCGCTGCATTTTAGCGCGGCTGCTGGAGCGGTCGTTGCGCGCCGCGCCAAACCAGGCGATGGGCGCGCGCTAAAGCTGTTTTTTGCGCCCGCCGCGTTCGGCGCCTGTTGGAGATGCTCTAATGCTTAAAACTTGATGAACAAAGAATCCAAATTCAAGCACGTATTGATCTGTTAAAAAAAACGTATCGATCAAACTAGTACACAACTTTGGACTTCTCCTCAGATGTTTCTGACCTAATCATCTTCTAATGGTAGCAATCTCGTAAAATTTATAATTATCATGACTAGTAGTGTACCGTAACTCGATAGAAGCACATCAAAATACTCTGATATATATACTCGATATCAAACTGCGTGTGGTACTGTCGTATCATCGTCGATCACTGCTTGTCGTCGACGGGGGGCTGGAGCTCCTCCTCCTTCGCCTGCTGCATGATGGTCACGCCGAAGAGCCTCAGGCAGCCCGCCGGCACTACCGGCGCCTGCGGGAGCTGCGCCGCCACAACGGGCACTTCCATGGCAGGCGCCGACCTGGGGATCGCGAGCCCCATGGCGTCCGGGGGAAGGAGGAGGCGCGTCCGCTTCCTCGGCACGATGGGCTTGCCATTGTAGTGCTTTCTCATGTGGCCACCTAGCCGGACGCCGCTGGTGTAAACCTCGCCGCAGACCTTGCAGGGGTGGAGCCTCTCCGGCCTAGGCCCGCCCGCGGCGTGCTCCATGGGGTCGACCCCCGCTGCTATGGCTGCCGCGGCGGCCGCCGCGATCCTCCGGTTCTTGTGGCCGGCGACGTGTCCGCCCAGCCCCTGGTGCGTCTCGAACCACTGGTTGCACTCCTTGCACGAGAATCCATGCCGGGTGGCCGGGTCCTTGCGCTGGATGATGTGCGGTGGCCAGTGGAAGGCCTGTGGTGAGACGGCTGCTGTGCGGGGGCGGGCGGGTGGAGGTAGAAGGCGGCTGGCTCTGGTGCTGGTAGTGCTGGTACGGCCGGCCGTGGAACTGGATCTTGCTTCTGTGCAGGAGGCGTCAGGGCGATGTCGACTTGCTTGGGTGCAGCGGCGGGTGCTGCTGCCTCTGCCACCACGATGGCCATGGAAGGACCAGCGGCACTCTGACTGGGTTCCACGGTGGCGCTGCTGCTGCTCGCCAGCTCGACGGTCATCGGGTCGTCTGGGGTCTTGGGCTCCGCGACGACATAGGCCATGGACACGGAAACGGGGTCGTCCACGGCGCTGACCGCCTGCGCGTGGACCCTCATGTGGCCATGCACGGCCTTGGAGTTGTGGAACTGCCTGGTCTGAGCCTGGTGCTGGTACAGGCGGGGAATAACGCGGTGGCACCAGCAGCATCGCCGGCGGCGGCGTCGCTGATGGTCCCGTCGGAGCCGAGCGAAGATGTGGGGGACGAAGCGCGGGTAGTCGTCGATTTTGATCTTGATCTTCTTGTTCTTGATCTTGACCCGGCGCTGCCGCTGCCGCCGACCACGTGCACGTCCTCCACGACAGGGACAGGGCCGGGCTGCGCGACGGTGACCATCCGCTGGCGGTCGCGGTGGTCGTGGAGGGGCAGTGGGTGGAGGTAGTAGCGCGCGTCCTCGTCGTCGGTGTCGGTGTCGGAGCCGGTGTAGTAGCCGGAGTCGACAACCTCGCCCTCCTCGATCTCGCGGCGCCGGCGCCCCGACTGGCCTAGGCGATCATCATCAGCGGAGCCGGCCATGGAAGGAAACCAGATCGGTTGATCGATCGATCGATCAGCAGTGAGGGAGAGAGAACGAGGGAAGCTAGGGTTTGGCGTCGCTACGCTACGCTCGAGAGTTAGGGCTTTGCTTGTGTTGTGGGGGGCTTTGCTTGTGGGTGGGGAGGAGGAGTGGGCTCCCTTATACGGAGAGGAAGGGGTAGATGGATCCGATGGATCTGCGGCGGCAAGGCACAGTGCAATGCCGAGACGGGGTAGGGTTCCGTGGCGCGCGCGGCTACGAGTGGTGGACGATCGCGGCGGGAGGGAAGGGGGCGGGAGTCCGCTTGGGAGACGATCGATGGCGGCAGGGATCGATTGAGTTTGTTAGGCGGAAGGAGAGGGAGAGAGAGAGGAGACTCGCGCGCGGTTTAAACGGGATTCACCTGCTGCAGAGAGAGAAAGAGAGAGACTGCATGCCGCGCGGTTTTTTTTTTGAAGTTACTGCCGCGCGGTTTAAACGGCCCGGGATTCACTTGCTGTTAATTTGACAGCACAGCGCCGCAGAGAGAGGGAGATAGATTCTACCATACCCTCCATACGGTTTAAACGGAATCACTTTCTGTTAATTTGACAGCGTGGCACTAGAGAGAGAGAGAGAGAGAGAGAGAGAGAGAGAGAGAGATGGAGATGATTTAGTAGTAGTAGTTGAATATGCAAGCAAATCTTGGCCGGATCTCTGATCGACATTTCGTGGCCACGAAGATATATCCCCCATCTCCAAGTTTTTTTTAGGTGTTCCCCCATCTCCAAGTGGAGGCAAAGGAAAGTTAAACGGGCCGGTATAGAGAGAGAGAGAGAGAGAGAAGAGAAGAGAAGAGAAATAGGAGTCTAGCTAGAACGGTACGGTGCGTTTAATTTGCATTTTTTTGTCTCCCGTTATAGCACATACCAAAAAAAATCTCACATAAGTTCAAAATAAAAATCACAAACAGAAAAAAAGTGAATACCAAAAACTTCGAAGCATTCCAAATAAATCAACGCACTAGCATTATTTTTCATGCAAGGAAAAGTAAGAAATCTCCACTCGTCACAACAAAGTCACCGTGAGGAATCGTTGCAACATATATGCTGCGACATGTGAATCAATGTTTCCAATGACATGAAGAATAATTAGCAAAATAGATATGACATGAAATATATTTGGTGGCATGAGGGTAATATCTGCCACAGACCTTCGGACTTATCGGGGCATGTAACCCTTTGTGATTGCAACAAACCGAATGTGGGTGTTTATATATCGAAGAAGGACGCGTCTAGGGAGCAGCCGGCTGCTCCCTAGCGTTTCCTGACGGCCAAACCAAATAAGGTAAGTTCCTGTCCCCCTAGTACAGAAAAGGTAAGGCCCACAGCCCGCCGATTCCCTCGCCCCCAGCTTCCTGTTCCGTCGTCCCGACCCAACCAACCCCTCCTCACGTGCTCTTCCTCCCCCATACCGTGCACCCAACGGCTGCTTCCACCTCCATTACCTACCCACCCAGCCATCTTCTTCTCCCCCAAGTAAGGCACAAATTATTT